ACGTCACGATTTGCTTGTGTTGTGAATGACATCAAGTTTCTATCATATTTTTTAGCATCATTTCCCACATCTGTAGTTAACAAATCCTATCATAATGTTGATCTCACCTTCAGAGGGAAAATAGAACAGTTTCTCTGCTGTTGCTTCCAAGTCATCCTTTGCTGAAGAAGACCCTTGGCAAACTAAATGGACAACATAAAGGCCCTTGGGACAAGCCATAGTGGTTGGGCCCAACTCTATAACTCTCACAGGTTCTCCTCCAGGTACTGAAGGTGGCACAGAGAGGACAGAGATAAACTCCTCTTCAGACGGTTTGAGAGAACTGCAAGTTATAAATACTGCTCGAGAAACAAACTGTTCACAATCCTTTCTGAAACGTTTTGGCACATAGGAATGTCCGAGTATGAGCTGTTTACATTTCAGTAGCTGATTGTTTGAGATTACTCCTGTGCATTCATTGTTTGCATTGTTGATTGCGATGCCTGATGCATCTCTTCTGAGGCAATATAATCCACCGAACACTGCACACATTCTACAAAATGCTTGCGGCATTTCTCCGGCACCATAGAGTGGCCAAATAAAAGGTGTGTTTCCATATCGTCCCAGCGACTGAAGAAACCCTTGTGTTGCTTTGAGACCTTGCAGAGTTGGCGTTTCTAGTTTGACCATTGCTATGGCATGGATTATAAAGTGCTGCAAGTTGGGGGTCAACCTACGAGACTGCAGAAATTCAGCATAGGGTCGGTCTTCATAACCCTCATACTGATCTTTTTGTTGTTCAAAGTCAAGGCAGAAAGTTAAGAATTTCATAAGCATTCTTTTCTCCACAATGGATATCACACTGCTGCTAAAGACGTCAGCTCTGGAGCATGGTACTTCCTCAACTTTTCCATCCATGTACGTCAATATCCTGGTGACAGATTTAAATTCTGCATAATGACTGATATTTGCTGAAATCAAAGCTTCCACCAGTGGCCCTCTGGAGAAGAGAACTTTAGGAGCTATGTCAATATTAAATCGTCTCCAATAGGGCTTTAAATCATCATAACTCATGTTTACACTAATGGGAGGCTTTGTTTCACGTCTCTCTCTTG